TTTTTTTTTTTTTTTTAATTAGAATTATTTGAAAATTTTAATAAATTTTTTTAAAAAATAAGAAATTAAAAATGAAATCGTTATTAAACCCACTTAGAGATTAGGGTTTTAAAGATCCGTTGGATGTTGGGAATTGAATATTTGAATGATTTAATTTTTGTGTGTTTGTGTAGGCAGATGCAATGAATCCATGAAAATGGGAGAGAGACAGCTTTTAATGGGCCAGTGGATGCCCCAAACCAAAGATGGGGCATTGGTGGCCTCTTCCAACCAAACCCAATATCATTACTACTTGTAAAATAAATCCAATAACTAATAAATATCGTTTTTTTTTTATATATAAATAAATTATTAGACGAAAATACCCCACCATTAATAATTAAGAAACTAATGCACTTTTTTTTTTTACTAATAAAATTAAATATAAAACAACAAATATTTTTAAATTAAGTTTTATTTTAATTATTACATTTCATTTTTAGGTTTCTCGATTTAAATCTGCCTCATGTGTTCTTTTTTTTTTCTTTTTAATAAGGTTTGAGTTGGTTCGACTCCCGTTCCATGGTTGGTTACATTAATTGGAACATGCATGAACAAGCAAAGGAGAAGTGGGTCCAAATGTGGTCAAGTTTAGTGTCATTTTGTAGCCATTTTCTAAGATTTGAGGGTCAGCTTGTGTTCAATTGCTTACCTAATATTCTCTCTTTTCTTTTCAATTTCAAATATTCTAATTTTATCTTCATATTGGGCTTCAAAGATAGTTGAGATATGGGCCTTGAAAACCCAAATGGGCTTTTCCATAGCAACGATGTGGCCGGCCCAATAATAATTGGGCCCATAACATATACGGAGAATTTGTAAATAAAAAGGGTAGAATTGGAAATTTAATTGAGAAAATACTCCTAAGTATTTTAAAAAGTCATTCCATCAAGCGGTGTAGATAGATGGATCAACTCGGAAAAGCTTTAGCCAATCAGAGATTAGCGCGCTCGTTGTTCACTTTGTACGTGCCCGCATCTGAACAAAGGTTTACCCATCGATAGAGGATACTCTCCATAGTGTTCGCGGCAAGCATCAAGCTTATAATGCCATATGTGACGAAGCCTCATCTTTCTCCCTCTACAATCACACCCATCTGATTGGAATTTTAATTTCTTTTTCAATTTTATTTTCTTGATCTTCAGCAAGAATCAAGATCCCGACCCATCACAGAATATTTGACGTTCCTTGCGATATCGGCGACTGATTGAACCGACTCTTGCTGCTCTGTCAGCACGCTTCATTCCCCCAGAATCCGGCGAATCGGCGCTGTGGGCCTGTAGATAAATGCTTAGGGGTTCGTGATGCGAGGTTTTGTAGCATAGGGATTACGAGAGTTACCCCTTGCGTTTGAGCGATAAGGTTCCGAAGTTCTAATCCTTGAAGCTGCTATTTGTTTGGTATGGTTGTCATCGATTGATAGAATTTGGGTTTTGGGTTTTGGGTTTTCGATGAAGTTTATACGCGGTGGGTTTTTGCCTAGCTGACTAAATTTGATACTCTGCTCGTGTGTTTAATCAATTGAAGGGTATCGCTACAGTGTTCAGGTAACGATTCCTCAAGCGTGTAATTACTCTGCTTGATTTATTTTCGTTTTTGATACGAACAGAGCAGTTGTTTGGATTATTAAATTGAGGGTAATTAGCTGAAATTCAGTACATAGTTACTAGTTCTGTACGAGGTAGGAGTCTTTTGCTTGTTTAAGTGACATTGTCGGGTGAATTCATCAGGTGTTGGCCGCCTGCTATATTGCTTTGGGGAGGTGTGAGATTGGCATGGTGCTTAATTGGGTATGGGTGTCTATCAGCTCGACAATATTGCAAGATTTTGAATAAGATGGCTGTGCTCAGCAAAACCAAAAGTACGCTCGAGGGGCTTGTTAGGGACAGTTCATTGAAATGGTTGTTCGGGAAGCGAAGCTTTTTCGATGAAGAAATTGAAGAGATTGAAAAGTTTCCTTCTGCTCAGAGAAATTGGCTAAGCGAGCTCTCTCCATTTGCCAATGTGGTTGTTCGGAGATGTACTAAGTATGTTTTTAATAGCACGTCTTGTTCTTTCAGTTGTCCTTGTAGTAAATTAGTGTTCAAGGATTTAAATAAATTGATGTTCAATCCATTACAATGTCAAATATGCAGAATTCTTGCTGTTTCTGCTAGCGAACTTCAAGAAAGCTTTAATACGGAGGCAATTGATTCACTAAAGATTACCTCAAATTATGCAAGAAACTTGCTGGAGTATTGCTGTTTCAGGGCACTTGCACTATGTACACGAAATACGGGCTATTTGGGTGATAAAAAATTTCGACGCTTGACCTTTGACATGATGATAGCTTGGGAAGCCCCAGCAAGTTCTAGCCAGCCTTTACTTGATGTAAGTTCTTTGTTTTATAGGTTTTACATGTGTCTCGATCCTTCAAATATAGACAGTTGAAATTTGAAAATGAAGGTTGCTAGATCATTAAGATGCTTCTTTTGATCCCATTTCGTATTTCACTGGATCTTGTAGACTTACCAAAATTACAAATTTCCTGTGATGTTTGCATAACGATAATGCCCTTTAGCCCTCTCAGAGGTTTATCTCTGGTTCTACTGACTTTCCTTTTATCTGAGATGACCCACCAATATGCAGGTTACTTTACCATTTTACTTCATATTACTTTTGTCAATTCTCGTAGAATCACTTAAGTATACGATGCTCATACTCGGACTGAATAGTTTCATTAACGGACACGTATATTGTCCCATTTCTGCATGTTTATTTGATTGACCACAATGTCTTGCTTCCACACCTTCGGTAAAACGATGGAAGATGGAGCATATGAAGATTATGTGTCTTTGTTGTTCTTGAAATTATTGATATTAGTGTTTTCAGTATTCATCTGTAGCTGACCTTTATTACAGATTGATGAAGAGGCATCAGTTGGGGTGGAGGCTT